GAATCACCTAAAGTAAGTTAATAATGGTTTATACACATTCATACTTTAATGTAGAAGACTATTTGTCCTGGTCATCAATATTCATATCTTTTTATGAATTATTCTATAAATAACATACTCGTCTGTCACTATACTGGAGAGTAATGATACTCAACCTTATTATAACCAAAGATAATAGAAACACAAGATAGAGATCTCCACAGAAAAAAAAAATTGTTCCACCGAAATGCATGGTGGGAATACAAACAATGGGGCGCCGCGTACGGCTGGATCTAAAAAACTTCTGCCACCGTTACATAAATGTGAATATATAACCTCCTTTTGCGGAGGTTGAAATCGTTGCCATTATCCATTATATACAAACAAGTAGGCATAAACAAATCAAAACAATAAAATGACAGACAGAAGGGCGCCCTAATAAAAAGAGAAGGGCGCCGCGTACGTCTGGACCAATTTTCGCCTCATTTTTGCTATGTGAGTGCTCTATCTTGTATTTTTAGTATCTTTGTTATAACATAGCAAAATCATTCTATACAGTATGCGAATTTAAAGCAAGGGTCTAGTCAGGGTCAAAAAGGTTTATCATTTAAGAGGATGACCTTAGCTTTATATTGCTAGACAAAAATACATCATAAACTGGCTCTATAAAGATTGATAGAATAGATTACATGCTGATATTTGTTTTATTGTAGACATATAGTCTTTGCACCAAGCAGTAAAAACGTATACGCTGGAGATGCGTTCCCTGGACTTGTCGATAGTCTTTATCGCATAGATGAAGATATCAACAACCAAGAGCAACGGTGGAATGCAGTCCGAGAACAATTAGCCTTAACCGCTTTCATCATCCAGTCATCTGCCAGTACTCTCAAAGACGTTGATGATTACTAGGCGACGACTTTGTCGACAAAGACCACTTAACATCTTCTTTCTGCAGAGATGCATGATTGATGTACTGAGTGGTATCCGAGGTTTATCCATGCAACGTTTGCCAAAAATGGGCAAACAATTTAAAAAGACTGCGATAATAAATAGAGCAATTATGACTCATGCTCAATTGGTTAAACCAAGTAAGAAATTAACCCGCTTCTCTTCATATCTTATATACCTCCTTGGAAATATAATGGATATACACACACGCACACACACACAGAGATATATATACATATATAACATCTAGATGTGTATAAGAGACAGGAATATATATATATATATATATATATATATATATATATATATCGATTGAATTAAAAGACAAATCTATCGATTGTTACATTAAACTAAAGCTAAATCACATTTACGTTTGATAAAAACAATCTTTATTGATTGAATGTACATTGTTTTCGTACCAATATTCGATGGGATTCCCACAAATGTGACGGCTCGCCGGTGGCGAATTTTTATTTATCGTAGGTAAGTTGAGCAAAAATTAATGAATTATTCATGCACGAAGGTATTACTAGCGCATGCTCAATCTCGTTTCGCTGGACTGCACTCGCTGTAGCTTTTTCACGTCGCGGCGATCATGGAGGAATTATGGTTGGATTTTCGGTGGGCATAGGCCATACATTAGGCCTATATACTACATTTAGCTTGAGCCTGCTCTCTCTCCCTGGCCTACACTATGTCAACAGAGTATTTAGTACAGCATTCGTTGAAGGCCGAATCAATCTAAACTTACTATTATTCTTATATGATATGTATTAATTTTTGAAAAAGTTATTATATTATATAAATATTATAAAACAGTTAATAAGCCTAAATTGTAAAAATCATTCCTCATAGAATCTCTAGAGAATCCTTATGGTTAGCTGGATAGGCCTATCTGTGAATTTTGGGGTCTGAATTTTTTAACTCTGAACTTTAGGGGTCTGTCATTATTCATATACAAAATATAAAGGATCATCAGGCATGTAACACGACACGGGCGGCTACACATACACAGGTACAGACTAAATACTGTATAATTCAAATTGAAAAAAAGAAACGACTAACTTACTATATACAAAATGACATTTAGAATTTCTGTAAATTTTAATGTTACGAAGTAAGGTTCGTTGTTAAATTTGAATTGATATGCATACTGGTATTTTTATTCCAGTGCAACTCGAAGTATAGTCTATGAGGCTTTTAGATAACCCTTTTTTAGTTGCAAATACAATTGCATACAGTAATTTGTTGTAGGGATAGCATTTTAGTTGATTTTATGTTAGTCGAGAGTGCTGACCTATTGTACAGGGTAAAGTATATTTAAACTTTACTTTCCGTCATTGATTAAACACCCTTAAGTGCCCTCTAAAGATAAATTTTTGTTTCCTTATGTTTGGGAAGGGGAATTGCCCCGAGTGGACGTGGCTCACCTGCCCGCCCATCGACTGAGTGCCACGCCCACTGGCTTCCATTTTGGACGGGTCCTATTTCGTTTTTCTGGCTAAAACCCTTGTAGCATCTTAGCTCAGTCGGCTAATCTGGTGGTAGCCGCTGTGTGTGCGCTAAACCGTGGAGATCTCTAGGTCCCCGGTTCAATTCCCATCGCTGCCTCTCCTTGTGCTTCGGCTAGAGGGCTGAAATACAAGTTACAATAGTGCACCGTCTTTCGGATGAGACGTTTAAGCCGTTGGTCCTGTGTGCATTATGGCCCATGTGCACGTTAAAGAACGCAGTACACTCTTCGGAAAAGAGTAGGTGATTGTCTCCCAGTATACTGCCTAATCACCACCAGAAGGACCCCACTGGAAATAAGTCTTCTTCTAGACTTTCGTGGGCTATCCTTGGTGTTTACACCGAATAAATCCAATCCAATCCAATACAGTACTACCAAGGTAACTTTGATACACACTCAGAGTCACAATTTCCCTTAGACAGGCATTTGAATATAATAAATGATTAAACAATAGAAAATAATCATAATTCCATATGTCTAGTGCCCAAATATAATGATTTTAGCTGTTAAAATAATAGTTGGCATTGGCTTATATATAGGCCTAT